CAAGTGGAAACGCAAAGACATTCACCAATTAATTTTTATTGTTGTATTTATTTTATTTTTATCGTTGTTTTAATAAAAAATTATATAGAAATCAACATTAATGTTTGCTGTAGATGATCCAGTTTTATTCTTAGACAAATTTACCCAATAACTTGACTTATATTATTTTTTTGAAACAGGGTTGCTACATGACCATCCACATCACTCCAGAACCTGATTTTTCCTATGTTAGTTTTGAAACGAACATTCCTTCCAGCTCTTACGAGGAAATCATAAAAAAGGTTTTGAAAACATTCAACCCAGGAAAATTCACCGTCACTGTGTTTTCCAACAAGGTAAGAGTATTTATAATTTTAATGAATATTTGTCAGATGCTGTTTCTTTTTATAATTCTAAGGATCATATGAACAGTCAATTTACTCCCACATGCGGGAGTGTGTGGTATAGGAAGGGTGGGGGGAAGCAGGAGGAGACTTCGAAGTTGAGCCCCACGATTTCCGCAAAAAAACGTCACCACATAGCCCCACGATAGGGTATGGGAAACCTACCCGCTGATGGTGACGGGAGGCTCTCCATATTTTCTTTTTCTAATTAACTTATACCCTATGTTTGAATGATCCCCGTTATCAGGGAGATAGTCCCTGGTAACTTTTCACTCGATATGCTATCTTTCTTTGGTCGAAGGTCTATGTACAAAAAAATGTAGTCTCACCATTTTACGCTGTGGGCAATGGTGGTTGTTGACAGGTATATATCTGAAAGTGCTAGTATTCTTGGATGGATAAATGTTATCTGGTCTAGTTGATTCATATCTGTTCAAAATCTGTTTTTCCTCCGATAGCCAGTCTTCGCCCCATCAATATGCAGTGAAAATCGATCGTCGCGCCGTGGGGCTAGAACCTCAGTTCTCCATAGCCATCGAATAAATGAGTCGAACGAACCACTCACGCTAATCAACCGGCTGCCGTCCCTGGGTGAGATGAGTATTTATGGCCTATTTGATCATCTCTAAAAATGCCCTTTTCTTTACCACCCGACATTCCTCACTTAACGCCTTTTTGGGGCCTCCGTTTTTTATTTTGTTCAGGATTTCTATGTGAGATTTGTGATTTCTGATGTAGGGAAATGCATCCGTTTATGCTATTTTATAGTGTCTCTTCTTCTGTTTTTGTATACTCCCCCGGTATTTGTCTCCAAGGGCCCTGAGGTCCCTTCGAGAGTATCTTCAGCATCTAGCACATACTGTGTTAATCATCAGCTTTTATTATCGAAGTTGTACAACTATGGAATCAGAGGCTCTGCTTTTAATTGGATTTCTTCCTTCTTAACTGAACGTACTCAGTATGTACAAATTTCGGAACGTATTTCCGGAGCAAACACATTCGTTAATTCTGAAACTAAAGTGGTTAACATGGGAGTTCCACAAGGGTCTATATTGGGGCCAATTTTATTTTTATTGTATACCAATGATCTTGAGAAATACCTTACAGGGATCCCTGCTACCATGTACGCTGATGATACTTCTGTGATAATATCGGACAAGGATGAAATTGCAGCACAACAGAAATGCGAACAAGTTCTCAGTTCTATAAACGAGTGGTGTAGCCTAAATTCTTTATATCTGAATGCAACGAAAACCCAAATCGTCAAATTTCATAATTGGCAAAAAAATTGTCTTTCATTAAATGTTTGCGTTAGTGACACACTAATATGTAACATAAACGAAGTAAAATTTCTCGGACTAGTNTTTGGCCCGCCTAATAGGCTTCTCAGTTTTTTCCGAGGTTTTTGACGAGGTATGATCAAGGTATGGGAACCAATTTTGAAGCTCACATACCTTTTATGTAGTTTTCTAATATAACACATACCAATATACAATCAACAATAAATACTCAACACTTTTCTTTTTTGTTTCAGTCATCTCCAGTAATGGATTCATCAAAAAAAGTACTCTCCGTTAACGAGATGGGCGAGTGGAAACGCAAAGACATTCAGCATTGCAGCTTCAAGAACTACGATCTGATGTACGCTTTCTTCTGTAGATTTCCAAGCTGAGGGTGTCAGGGCCAGCTGTGCGACTGCCCAGCAAATAAAATCGCTTCATCTTCATTCCAGTCTTCCTTCTCCTATATGTTACCTTTTGTTTTTCAAACCTGCTCGTTTCATCTTTCATCCTTTGCCTTTACAACTCCCGATACTCCTGAATGTCGACCGACAATGACTCACTTATTAAAATTATTCCAATCTCTTGACTCATCACGGGTATTCTGTGCCAAAAACACATGTCTTCTCAGTTATTTTGATAAAATGTTTCGTTCAAGTACTTGTGACAAACACTTTCCTTCACCCCGGGAAATACATTCTAAATTATGTTTGCTTCAGTCAGAAAGTTGGCACGCAGTTCATGATTGTCATTCAGGAGAAACTGCACACACTTTCACACCTCAGTTCAGCCCATTTTCTTTCTTTTTTCTATACTTCACCTTATTTTCCCCTCCTTTCAAATTCACTGATTTCGAATCGCCACTTGTCCTGTTTTCGTGGTGGCGAAATAAAATATCGTGAGAATTACTGAAAAAACTTTCAAAGTAGGTAGCACGCTAGTGAACAGATATGTTGTTTCCCTTTAACCTATGAGGGTTAGGAAATACATATAGAGTTTTTTGTGTGTTCACGTGTTCTATCTCTTTGCAAGCTTTTTGGCTCATAATCTCATGATTAAGTAGAGAGAATTTCGAAAATGAATATTTTATTTATAAACAGGCCTCTGAAAGAATTATTACAAAAATCAGGGTTGAAGAAAGGTCCACTCAGTATAAAAATAAGCTCTAGTCAATGTGTAGCATATAACTGAACAAGTTTCTGTAACCATCCTAGTAGCTAGTTTGAATTTCTGAAAGAAAAAGATTGTAAAGTACTTTATCAGCGGAAATCATAAACATTGTTATGTCCTCCTATAACAAATTTTATTAAAATTGTATTCAAGTTGAATCACTAAATATAAATGAATTTTATTTACTATAAAGTATTCAAGAAACACTGATGTCTTCAGGCGTGTCCGTATAGACACGCCTGAACACATCAAATATCTACTGATTGCTTCACATACTGTAATAAACTGTTTAAATATTGACAGGGTATACATCCCAATTTTGTGTGCAAAACGGGAATAAAAATATACAAAATTTCGAATCATTTTGTCTTGTAACTAAATTAGGATTTACCACTTTCCTCAATTTCGATATACCTAATAAATTCTGGCATATTGACTGACATATATCTAGTGGTGAAACTCGATATTCACTGATTGAAAATATTTCGAAATAAACAATTTCTCCATTGAGCCAGGAGAACAGTAAATAATTTCAAATCTCAGCAGTTTTTTTTTCAAAGTGTTGTCCAAAATAGGAAGATCAAAATAGATAACCAAAATACAGAATCAATAAATTTAGATGAGTTTCAATCTTATCAAGAGCAAAGGAAGCAATTGGAAAATAACATGTAATAGGTTTTGGTAGCCATCGTTCTTGAATTGAAATGTTGTAGTTGTAGATATTCGAAATTTTTCAAAATATCACTGGTCATTTCACCCTAATCTGAACTAAACGAAAAATCCAATCAACTTCTAACAGAGAGACGAGTAATGAAAAAGTTCAGTTTAAAACCTATTCATCAAATGATGAATGGGTTTTAATATAATATATACAGGGTGTTCCTTAATGATATACGAATATTCAAGGGTGTAATAATGACAGGTTGCTATGTAAACTATGAAAGCTTAAATTTGTGGTATGCATAAATGAAAGAAAAATAAAAATTTATTCTTTTGTATTATATTACAGACGCTAATTTCATTTGTGCATAAACTATGGTCCAAAAATACGTAGTGTTGAAGTTTTAAGAAAAAAATGGAGATTATTCAATAATTCCGAAACCATTTGGGATATTTTAGTGATATTTGGTAAGCAGTGACAATTGATACGCCTATGGATTTTTCTCAAATAAAATTTATTTTTGAATTCCTTGTTCAATTTGAGATAAAAAAATCCTCCCCTCTAAGTTTTTCTCCTACGATACCTCAATTTTTAGCGAAAAATAAGAACTTTAGAATTGTCTGAAAAATTATTGAAAAATTTTATTGTATTAAATTCGATTCTGCTACAGTTTTTGATTCAGCAGACAGGGACGCTTGATAAAGCTGCACATTTTTTGATACTTCGATACAAAAACATACCTTCTCTTGAGGCTCGCAGAAAACATAGAGATTTAATACTTCTATTGAAAATTATCAACGAACTGAGTATCAGCCCCGAGCTTCCCTTCAAAATATCTTTACATGTCCCCAGTCGTTCAACTAGACAGGTGCAAACGTTTTACGTTTCTTGTCACAGATTCAATTATTCATATAACAGCTTTATTCTCAGAACTCTTCAATTGGCTAACTCTTTAAATAATACTCAAATCTTTAATATATCAAATTTCCACTTTAAAAACCATATTCTTCACCTAGCCATCTAATTGTATTGTGTCTAGTGATACTTGCCTGTAAGAATTATGTTAGTTCATATTGTTATACATTTCAATTTTTTCTTAAATAATCTATTTGTTATCTTACTTCGGAATTGTATTATTATTATAACAAATTGGGCTTGCCCGTGTATATATATAAATAATTAAATAAAATTTATATTTGAATTGCCCGTTCAATTTTAAACAAGAGAACTCCTTCGATTTTTTCTGTGACGCGCCATTTTTGAGAAAAAAATAAACGTTGACCAACCAAAAATATTAATCTAATTGAAAAAATGAAATGCATTACAACAACTAACAACACAAGCATAACTAAGGTGTAATTATTGTTACAAAAATTGTTAAAATGTCTCCCTTCACTCAATATGCATGCTTCTTCTTGTAGAACTTCGCACTCGTCGAAAAATCCCAAGTGTATTATATCTTTTGAACATTGAAATAATCCACACAACTTGATCGCAAATTATAAACTGAAAAAGGGGTTGGTTGAGTAACAGGATCATTTTTTTTTTAACCATTGTATTCTTGCAAACTGTCTAGCAATATTCCTCGTAATTATTTCAGGATTTTCTTCGATCTCCTGTAGCATCCCGTCCTCAATTTCAGCTGATGTTACACATTGAGGTCTTTGAGGTCTTTCTTCATATAAGCCAAATGATTTTTCTCGAATGAAATTTATTTTTATTCAATTTATTTACTCAAAAACGACGTGTCGTAGGAAAAACTCCACATGACTTTTTCAAATTGAACGACTGGCTCAAAAATTAATTTTATTTGAGAAAGTCTGTAGGCGTATCAAAAGTGTCGAAGTAATTCCCGTACGTACCCACGACATTGTTGAATATACCAAAGAAAGTCGATACATTGGAAATATTACACCACTGCGAAGATGGCTATTCTATGAAATGACAAATATTCCACAACAATTACAATTGTGAATCATTGAAATTTGTTAATAATTATAGGAAACATGCCTCGTACATAATTGTGGAAACATCACTAAAATACTCTGTACAATATTTCACAAATGTGATGGAAGTGTACATATCTTTTTGAATATTTCATGAATATTCAGAATATATATGTTCTTCTTTGGGTATTTATATAATATTCGGAGAATATACCATGCTGTTTCGATAAATAAATTAATGTAACTTTATGTGTAAATCCCCATAGAAAAAATATTAAAGTCTTTATTTCTCTATGTCTTTTAAATTATTCAATGGTCCAGATCATCGTAAGATGGATTCAGCAGGAGTCCATGACTTGTGATAGCTTTTGTGATTGATCTTCTGAATTTCCAATTATCAAACTCGAATGGTGAATTTAAATTATGTGAATAAATGAAGACACAGTATACCGTTTCTTTATTGAATACTGATCGGTAAATACATTCATTTTGATTCATCTTGTATCAATTTTATCAATTATTAATTTTATGATTGATTTGGCTGTCACTTGATGAAGATTCATAGTAATTTCATTAACTACACCTTACGATTGGATCTCCACAAACATTATTTCAGAAATATATCACGACATTTGTTTGAAGGTGGTTGACAATGTTTCGTGGTGTATTTCAACAGTTCGGACTTCCATTGTCTAATATAATATAAATTAATTTGATAACCCTGAAAAAAATCAAAAAGATTACCCGAAAATAACAATTTTATTGAACAAAAAACTGAAATTACAAAGAAATAACATAAAACCAAACAACAACCTAAAAATGAAAATTGAAATTATAATAAAAGCTGAAAATAAAAAATTATCATTAACAAAAAATGTAAAATTAAAATAAAAATCAAAAGATTTCAAACCAAGTTATGTGACATAAAAATGAAAAAAATAAAAGATTTCAAACCAAGTTACGTCACAACGTTTCGATTGTTAGTATCCACAATCGTCTTCGGGTGATAACTGGACCTATTCCTCCGAGATCTGACTATTTATAGGTCATTCGAGTGCTTTCACCTATCCCCTCTTTTCGCTTCATTGGTTTTGGCGGGAGATGACCGTTTGGCGGGAGTTGGTCGTTTTTCGCTTGATTAGAGGTTTCCATATGTTACGTATCTCTACGCTAGCTTGATTTTCAAAGAAGCCGCGTATATGTTGTCCAACAACGCATTTAGTAACTTCTTCAACAGTAATTTGAATAGGTACTACAAGTTGCTTCTTATGCTAATATTTATATACCGCAGGTAACTACAATTCAGACTACCTCTATCAAATTACCTAAACCTCTACAACATCTATATACCTGGGGTACCTCTTTCTCTTGAAGAGGTAATTTAACTCTTCTAATGTGTTAGCGAAACATGTCGTGATATATATTTCTCAAATTTCTCAAAGTTTGTGGAGATCAAATCGTAAGGTCTAGTTTATGACATCAACTATGGAGAGTTTGAATGACTTACGTGAATAATTAACTGGCTCCGTGTAGGACTGATTGGTTTGCAAAGTGGGTAACCAATAAATGGGGAAACAGTCTAACATTTCTTTATTGAAAACTGATCGGTAGATAAATTCATTTTGATTCCTCTTGTATAAAAAATGATGCACCTTCCCTCTCTTTGACATGGAAGAGATTAATAATCCAGTCAATTTATAAAGTTACAGTTCTGTGTAAATATATAACATATTCATACATTTTGCCTTAGTTATGTCTACATACTCGGCCTTGGAGCTAGAAGATATGGTAGGCTGAAATACCCACATTTGCAAGTGATAAAAAGATATTCAAGTACACTTAGAAATCAATATTCTTAACTGCATGTCTTGTAATTTATAATTTCAAATAAATTGGCAGAGATGCTGAAGAAATATATGTATACACTTTCCCGATGCCAATTTATTATTTGTCAAGAGCAGTGAACTGTGTTTAGACTGATTTTCTATATTTCTCATTCAAATTGTAAGTTCAATGACCAAATGAGACCGATTCTGGATTTTATTTGTGACAAATCAAAATGTAGTAGTACATAGTTGTTCAAAGTATATATTTACAAATTGTTGATGTTAACATTGTCATTTAAAAATAATAAATATATGCCAAACAACTTTACTCGTTTAATTTTTTCATAAAGAGTGGGTTTGTCCTTTAAATCCTAAATTTCAATGGAAAATTTAAGTGTGCAAATCGAGATAATTTCCCTGCTTCCATAGACAATAATCCATACGGCGGATTGAATATCCTTCGTGCAAAGTATGTATCTTGAAGTGACAGACGTGCCATGTTGAACTTTGTTAATCAAAATGAGCAGTTAAAATAAGAATTTCAGACATTTCAAAATATGAACAGGAACTCACGAACAGAAAACAACGGGAACACAGGAACAATAACAAACACAGGAACAATGGACACAATGAGAACAAAAATATGGCAGAAACAACAGGAACAACAGTGATACAAGGAACAATACTAGAAACAACAAATACAATGAAAACTGGTCTGGGGGTTAATACAACAAGCTCTTTCAAGTTGTCAAGTTGATAGTAAATATCAATGAGCAACTGTTTTCCATGGTAATCTCAGGGTACCAAATGATTTTTATTTAGTGAAACTGATGTAATTCAATCCCTTCAAATGGTTTCAGATAACAAATTCAGCAAATAAGTAAAATAATCTAAATTCTACCTGTTTACCGAGTGCGATTTGTTTTAAATTAACGGTTGTTTCGGTGTTGCAATGAGTATGAAGATTAATTTTGTTTCGGTTGGCAAAATGTTTCCTCGATATTTTATTAAAGGACCCCGCACATTTCTTATGAGAATTTTGCCGAAATTGTAGTTCTTGATGTGCTAATTGAAAGTATCCACAGCCAAATCTCAAAAATGTACTGTTTTCGAGATGTGAACCTTTGAAAATTGATTTTATCCATTTTTTGTGGTATTTGCTCATCAATCGGAGAGTTCTCATTTCTGGCTGCGATAGAATTTAGATGTTCGGCACCCAGAATTAGTTTTACGAATGGTCTTCCTCAGTTATATTTTATGCCACCATCGATAATTTTTCATACACTGCTTCATACTATCTCGATAATCTGAGAATGTGGTACTATCATCCATTTTGAGCCTCAGAGAAGTTCATTCATTCATTTTGGAAGATGATTCGAAACACCGTCGATAACTCTTTGTAAATTACTTATAAAAGTAACCGAACTGCTATAAGCTTGATAATTCCACTGCTACCTAAATCCAAATTCTAAAAAAATTATGTAAGGAAATGTGAGAGGTGAAATTTTCAGAAAAATCATGCTTTGCGTTTTCCAGAAACGTCTAACCTACCATCGACCGTGAATCACGCTGTATACAGTCCACATTGGTAACGGGTTGAAACCCTAACAGTGACATTAGGGAAGAAGTGAAAAATTCTTGAATATATAGCATAAAATGCAATCGTGATTTTGAAGCACAAGAAACCACAACGGTTGGTAGAGGACAGCTATCAGAGAGGTTCTATTTTTTGTTTTGCCATTTGACTTATTAGTTCTACTTGAAAATTTATTGTCGTATACGGACTAGAATGATAGTGAGCAAGTAGTAGCAGGTAGTGGACAAACCGCTTTTCATATTTTAAAACGTCATTATTCCCATTATAACGTTTTACAGCACAATAATCTCTTATTTCATCCGTCACCGTTCCAGCTAGTGCTAATTAAAAAAAAGTCATGTCAATGAAAAAATTTAAAAATGAATCAAGCCGTCTTGTTTTGCGTTGTTCGACGTTTCAGCTTCGGCAGCTCTTTAATCTAAGATCTAGGGAAACCAATATCGTTGATCTCCACCCCATTTTGTCCAGATGAAACTGAGACCTATCTATACAGCGGCGTCGATATCTAGTCGGGTTCAGAGAACCAAATAGATTGAGTGTAAATATCAGATCTTTCACTATTCTGAGCCTCAGACAGTACCTAATGACAGAACTTATATAAAAGTTCAGTGTACTTAATCTGTTACAGAAAAGTAAATTATCGTTGAATTGGAAACGATTTTTATTTTTTCTCCCTCCACCTCTCCTTCTGTAGAGAAAAATACGAAAGTGTTGAAGTGTAAATTGTCAAATTCACAGTGCAACCTAACCTAACCGAGCTATATTCAACTAATAAATTTACAATACGTAATATGTTATTTGAGTTGTAGGTACTAGTCTAATTTAACTTCTATTATAGGTTACTTCGATTCATTAACTTTTATATATTTAATCAATTTGCAATAAATGTAAAGTTCTGACATATGCTGAGCAGTAAGTACAGCGTCTACTGACATAAATCGAACATTGTTTATGATGGATTCATTCTCTACACATCTTTCCAAAGAGTTTATAAAGAAGTTAATTAATTTGTTCCTTTCTTCGTGAGACTTTTTTCTATGATGATAGAGAAGTAGAAGACCGAAAAGCTTTTTCTCAAAAAGTAAATAATCCTTTTCTGAGACTAAAAAATTGATTTTGTAAAACGAAATGCGTTTGTCTCCTTCGACTACTGAGAAACTTGGCCTAAGAAAATGACGGTCTGTTTGCCCAGGGTTTACTTCTATATACGGTTGTGGTAGGTATTCTCGGACGGTGCCTACTAGGGGTACTATAATAGATAGAGGGGGTTGTGAAATGTCATCATTTAAGATTGACATTTGTGGTTCAAATGGCGGATGGTGGTCACTACCATGTGATTGGTCGTATTCATTGTCGAATGATAATAATTATTGGTGAATCGTTGGAAAAAATAAACAATAAGTGATGAATGTGAGCTCTGGGTACTATTTATACACAAGATTTATCAGTTATTGACGTATCATGAGGAAGATGATTGTACTTATCGAGTTTGAAAGCTCACATCACTGAGAGACCCTGTCAAGCCACTGTAGATGACTGCCGCAGTTGCAGTTGAAATGTTTGGAGATTGTAACCAAAGAATACCATGGCAAAATTCGGAAAGCAACCAAAATAATAATACATTCTATACTATAAACATAATAAACTTACTATGGAACACATTATCGATAAAAATGTTCGTCAAAAAAATGTATAATCCACCCATAAACTAAACTCGCAAAGTAATTTTTAATTCTGAAATTCAAACTCAGTATCAGTAATGTCAAAATTGCTGTCACTATGTCACTTATATCAACCTCGTTTGCAACCACAACCCTATAAAGACTAAGTTTGCTCCAAGAAAACTTTCACTGTGCGTACGAGTGACAATTCTGATTGTTTACTCTCTTGTAAAAAAAAGGAACTGTTCTGTGGAGTTCTGAGTTCTGTGGTTTCAACGTTTTCATTCACCGTTTATGTTTGTAGTTTCGCTGACTTCGCGCGTAGATGAAAACGTAAAATGTATGTTCCTTGTGAAGTTATTCAATGTGGATATGATATAAAAATATTTTTTATGTTTTTATAATGGCTCTTTCACAGTATATTAATTATTTATGTTGTCTCATCATTTATTAAGGTAATTATTTAACGATTCATTACAAGCAATATATTTAAATCTATGTCAAAACACATTTTTCACCATTTTGAACATCCAAAATGGAAAATTGTGTTTTCAATTTCCATTTTTACGGTAGCTTATTTGAATATTTTATAGGTGAACTGGGCTTATGAAATTTTATGTCGTATGAGATACGAAATGGAAGATTACAATCATGATTTATATAAGCATGAAGGGAACTTCTGCAAATATTCTTATTCCTCATGGTGCTCGATGTGCGAAGGCAATTCGCCAAGAAGGCGATCGAGGAGTGAAACTCTGGAGCTGTGTCAGAGGAAAAACAGGGAAATGAAATCTCTAACCCCAAAAAAGTATAATCGCAGTCAGGAATATGAGAATATGGAATTTGAATATGAAAGCAGAGGACAGTGGCAAGAAAAAGATATGAGATACGAATATTCTAGGATCAGATCAAATTTATGTGAGCTACCCACTTCCTATATATCAAACAATTGTCAAAATTTAAATGTGGCAGGTCTTCCAAAACTGTCAAAGGATAGCAGTGATTTTGTAGATTGTCTGAAAAGTGTAGGTTCTTATGAACATACTTTGAAATTGGTAGACCTCAATGACCACATTGAAAATTTGGGAAGTATGCAGGTAAAAAATAAGGAAACTTTTGATAAAATTAACCCAAACAAAGTAGATGGTTTGAGATATGATAGAAAATTGGATTCGAGAAACCATCTGAAAACCAATTGCCTTCATACTAAAAGTCCTATTAAAAATTTACAAGAGCAATTAAAATACAATCACAATGAAATTTATATTGACAATCACTGCACAGACTATAAAAACCCAAAAATTCCTGAGATAAATACGTCCAACTGTCGAGAATATTGTACTTTAGTAGATTTAAAGTTCCACAATTTATCAAATGAGAGACCCTTATGTTTTGATACTGGCACATATTTTGATAAGAGATGCGATACCACAAGTATACACGAGCAGTATAATAGTGAGGTAGAGTACTTGAGAGAGAGGTTGAAAATGCTCCACAATAATTCTTATAGCAACTATAATAGTTTCACCAAAGTTGATAAATGTGTTAGTACTGTTGATCCTATACCAAATTATAGAAATAGTGGAAGCATAACTAAACACACTCCTGCAATTAGAAATAAAATGAAATGTCGAATTCAGTCTCCTCCATTGAATAGAAGGAGAAGTAAAATTTCAGTCAAAACGAAAACCAAAGGAAGTGCCAATAACTTCAAGATCAAGTCAAAACCAACAAGTAGTATATCTACAAGTTCGAATTGCGCAGAAAGGTATGTATTGATTGTTATATTAATGTATAATTAGTATTAAGATAAAATGATTCCAAAGACTACCTATTAAATAAATAGAATTTACCATTTCGTCAAATGAAGGGAATATTTCGTGAGATGTTCCTCAAGGTGGGGCAATTAAACTTTCTCTCAGGGCTTTGAGGGAAATGGAACTAGTGGAATAAGTTGTTATGATAGGAATAATTTCATCATCTTCTAATATGAATGACTCTAATTTTTAATTGCTACAATTATTAAATTTGACTTTCTTGATGAAAATATGTCATAGACTATTTCACTCAATAATAATGAATATAAAATTATGACTTTTACATACCTATTGAATTTGATTAGGTGGCCATTATAACTTATTAAAAACAATTTATGCATGTAGATTAAATATATATTAAAGTTGAAAAAAATGTGTAGTAAAGCAGAGTTTTGGTTTTATCAAGTCCTGTCGGCAGGCAAAAGGCAACAATATATTCCTGATTGAAATGTCATAGAAATGCAGTTTTTATTCTTATATGCACTAAAAAAGTTTCAAGGATCTGAAATCAAAGTTGATATTTATAAGGGGAAACATATCCCCTACCACATAATTAACCTGCCAGATCTCAAAGATGATCCTCCTTTCAGAACTATTTCCCTTAAATTTGTTAACAAACAACAGGGTTTCTAATCGTCCACTGAATTATGAAGAATATTTAAAGGTAAAAGAATACATGACAGCACACAATAAAAACACATGAACATCACCAAATGAAGTTTTATCAGCTTTTATAAAGTGAATAGAAAATTTCAAACTTCAAATGATAATCCACTAAAACGTGTCACTTCAATGAAGGATCTTGGAGTTATCTTTGATGAGCAGTTGCAATTTGTAGATCATATGAATCATATGGCTGTCAATACATCAAACCTGCTGGGATTTATATTACGAAACTGCAAACTATTATCAATCAATTCAGCGCGAATGGTGTATCTTGCCTTAATAGTCTCCCACTTAGAATATGTCTTGATTATTTGGTCACCATTTTATACAAATCATTGTGTCATATTGGAAAGAGTTCAACATAAATTCCTGGCATTCTGTGCTTATAAAATGAATATACACATTGACAATCATGATTATACAGTTCTTTTGAACAGTCTTAACCAAGACTTGTTAGACAGAAGAAGAGAGAATTCTGACCTTATATTTATATACAAATTAATTAATGGCCTTATCACACGTCCAAAACTTCTCGACAAGATTCACTTACGTGTGCCATGTTTCATGTTTCCTTTCATTATACAAACTGGAATCACACTACTATTAATCGTTTATTGAATGTTCAATGAAAAAAACCTACACCTAGAGATCACAGGTATAGCCTATCAAAATTCAAATGTCTTCTGAGAGGGAGTTGAAAATTAATTACACACCTAATTCTTAATGTATTCATTTATTACTTATATGTATCCTTTATTTTATTCTCGTCATTTATCTCTGTATCTTGAATTGTATAACTTATAATTCCGTTTATTTTAGTGCTTTAAAAAAATGGCAGTTCTAGACCAAGTAAACACTGTTGTGTCTGAATTCGAAGATAAGGGCTTTGCGCATTACTCATGACACTTTCTGTGACCTTAGCAAAGCATTTGATTATAATAATAATATTTATTCAGTTGGATCATCTATAGATGACATTGAGTATGTCAAAACGTGTACAAATACAAAATAAAAAAATACAAACTCCGTGCACTTAGAGGCACAATATACAATTTACATATATAATATAATATGTAATAGTCAAATTTCTAAAATAATCTGCTATTTATGCAACAGCATCGTTAATAAAATCGGCCTAAAATGTTGGATATGTGCATACTATATAATAGTTAGAATAAAAAATAATCTGTTATTTATGTAACAGCATCGTTATTAAAATCTTAGTAAAATGTTACACATGTACAGAGTCATAAGCTATCATCCATATATTCTTTGAGAGAATAATAGGATTTATCCAGGAGCAACGGTTTGATTTGATAGTTATACTGTTTTAGAGCCAGATTTTTTATTGTACTTGGAAGTTTATTGTACTATTTAATGGCCATAAGCCTTGGATATGATTCAGATAAACTAATCTGTGTGTTGGCACTTCCAACTGTAGGGTATTTCTAGTATTATAATTCTTATTACCAATAAGAGTAGGAAAACTGTTTATGTGCGATTTCACATATTTTAATATCTCATAAATTTATATACTTGTAGCGGTCAATATTCTGAGATTTTGGAAGATGAGTTTGCAATTTGTCCTTCTAGTTTCTCCTGCTATATACCTTATGGTTCTTTTTTGAATTTGGAGTATTCTGGAACAATCACTAGATGCTCCCCAAGCTGTAATACCATAGGAAATGTTACAATGAAAGTATGCATGGTAGTACATTAATAAGAGTGATCTATTTACATTCCAGCATAGTTGTCAGCATTGCAAGATATTGAGGATATCGTTTTACAAATCATATCAATATGCTTGCTCCATTTTCGATTTTCTGTTATCTTCAAAACCAAAAATTTTGTCTCCCTTTGTTGTTGAATTGATCCATTAATTGACGTTACTAGTAAACTGTGATCTGGAGTGGTTTTTGAATTATTGAAACGTAAAAGCACAGTTTTTCTTTCATTTAACAAGAGACCATTGTCTGAGAACCACTTTTGGGCTCTTTTTATTTCATCAGATGCTTTATTAACTTTAGCTTTAATATTTTCCTGAGTTATCAATAAAGTTGTGTCATCAGTATACATAAAGAACTGATCACTATAAAAATCATTTACATATGTTTGCTACGACATTCTTCATACCAAGCCAGAACACAATGGTTTCAATTCTTTACGTTCAACTTTTTTGAAATTCTGTCACTGTGAAAGTGCCATAGAGTTCGATAATGAGGCCTCTCCTTTTTATTATCTTCTAAGGTTGTGTGTGGTATGCTGACAATACAACCTTGGCCAATAGGAATAAAGATTTAAACGTTCTTCAGTTTAATATGTACAAAGTGCATTTGAGAGTATCACAGTGGTTTACTGCGAATCAACTATGTTTTATCGCTAATAAGACAAAGAACTGCATATTTACTCAACATCAGCTAATTGATGATCAGCAAGTTGTACAATTTTTAGGTTCATTTTTGGAACAAAAATTACTATGGAATGAAAATCAATATGGAATAAAAATATTCAATAGTGCACAACAAATTCGCAGCCTGTTGCTAATCATTAAACCTGTATGAGTGCCTATTTTAGCCTCGTACTGTGTTAAATGGAAGTGTAACATATGCAATCCTTGTTTGGGGGACATTCACCAAACTGTTCCAAATTATTTGGCCATCAAAGAAAGACCATTAGAATACAAAATGGTCTTAGTTTTCGAGCAGAAGTCAAGGACTACTGCATAGTAACATTCAACATTATAACACAAGAAATTCAGCTTTCATAGCTCCTGATTTTGTATGATTAATAAAGAGCCAATATTCTATAAATTATTACTACAAAAATTACTATGGAATGAAAATCAATATGGAATAAAAATATTCAATAGTGCACAACAAATTCGCAGCCTGTTGCTAATCATTAAACCTGTATAAGTGCCTATTTTAGCCTCGTACTGTGTTAAATGGAAATGTAACATATGCAATCCTTGTTTGGGGGGCATTCACCAAACTGTTCCAAACTAATTGGCCTTCAAAGAAATACCATTAGAATAAAAAATGGTCTTAGTTTTCGAGCAGAAATCAAGGACTACTGCAGGACTACTCCTTAGTAACATTCAACATTATAACACAAGAAATGCAGCTTTCATAGCTCCTGATTTTGTATGATTAATAAAGAGCCAATATTCTATAAATTATTACACACCTACTTTTTATGATAAGTTCCTTTCACATCTGAAAAGGGTACCGTATAATAATTTCAAAACCAAAATTAAACATATACTTATACAGGAAAGCTATTACTTGATTGATGACATTTTTATTGCTGATCTGGGTTGTTACTCAACGGAATTTGAATACATTTGTTTTGATAATTTGAACATAATTTGTTTATAAAGTTCTATACTTTTGTCTTGTTTGATTTATTTTAATTGCAATTTGCATGTTACTTCAGATGTATTTTAGTATGTAACCGCATTCTTAATCTGTGCAAAATGTGCAAAATTTGTATGATTAGAAGCACAAATAAATATCTATCTGTACAATATGAAAACTAATACAAACTGTGAAAAATCCAAAAAGGAAAATCAACCCCATCAAAGGGTTTCAGTTCCCTAGTGTTTTGCAACCTCTTTTATTCATTATGTATTTGAATGAAATAAACTTAAAAACTGAAGGTTCCTGATTCTCATCGCGGATATGCTGCTGTAATAAAAATAATAATAGTTCATTAATTTTATGAAAACGTTGATATACAATGTTCACAGAAAAAGTGTCAAATACAATAAAAGATGTATTAAAAAAAACAAAACAGCAGCCACACAAGGCTTGACAGTATTATTTCGAAGAGAAAGAGAAATAAACTATATTTTCATATAAAAAAACTCATTCAGAGAGTAGACAGAGTTTTCCAACAACAATGACCTCAATTCTTTTTTTGTCTCTCAGAAATATACATATATTTTTTATATTGGTGAGTAATTCATTAAATATCTTACAACCATTATAAAATAGACCTTTTTGCTTGCTTACTCTGCAATAAGAGTGTTTTATGTCTAGAGGCATACTGATGATCTTGGCGAGTCTGCTTGAAAACTGATTTGATTTTGAAAATAAAACAAGAAATCTCCAAGATGTACACTAATGTCAATATCAAAATGCTCATTTCTGTGACATGTTCTCTACAGCCAACAAACACAGCTCTTTTTTGCATTACAAAAACGCTGGCAACTTCAAGAGCTTGACCCCGGTTTTCTACAGAATATCTCAGATGGCAGATGCAAAATATAGTTGTCCTAATGTGTTTCTACTACTACATTATCTTTCAGCAATTTTTAGAGTATATATCATTCTAGCCAGTTTAGTGTAGAGAAACTCAATACATGTGTCAAAGCTATTTTTGGAGTTTTGGGCCGTGGTCTGCAACTTTTCATTTTATGGCGGACGTTTCGTCTAAAACAGCGGTGGACATTATCAAAAGAGAAACTTCTTTTGAAATATGAAAAGAGATTTCTTAAAAAACATTTGTGTGATTTAAATTTAGTTTAAATTTTTCAGAACTCGGTGGTTTCAAAGTTGTGGGCAAGGTATTATAACATATTTAACACCTTACTGTAATTTAATTTCAATTTTAACCATAGATAGATATCTTTCTTGGTAAAATAATATGCCTGGTTACATTATTATGAATTCTATTANATTATTTTATAAACAAAAATCTCAACATAACTGATATATTCAAACTATCAAGTGAAAGTTCATTGTCCATGATACAACACATCCACGTTTTTATGTGGAAGAATGTTTTCATCATGTGTTTCTCAATATTCACTCAAATATTCAATTCAAAAGATGAGCAAAACATTGTTCGTTAGGGTTATGACATGACACAGCCCAAAATTATTGCAAATTCAAAATTTTCCAAAAAGTGAAGGATTACGATTTGCGTCTATCAGCTTAATGTTAAAGACATCCATAGATTTGAAAAAAGAACTCATGGAAATTTGGTGTTAGGAGGAATGGAAGCCTAAAATGAACCTAAAATCTCAATATATTCCTGTCTCTCCTGTAATTGAATATTTTTAAAACATAATTTCTACTTCTACCGTGTGTGTCTCAGACAATCACCCACATATTTAATACAGATGAGGAGTTAAAAATGTTCAGTAGGGTAATGAACAAACCTGAAATTATGCAAGCTCAAAATTTCCAAAAAGTAAAGGATTTTGATTTGGCTTTTCCAGCTTAACGATAAAGTTAACAGAACCCACTGGATTGTTTTCAGAAAAAAATAGACAGAAAACAATTACACACATGAGAATTTTTTCAAAATATTATTTCTACTTTCAACGTGTGTGTCTGAAGGAATTACCCAAATATTCAATTAAAATGATGAGCAAAAAATTGTTCAATGAGATATAATGGAGAAGCCCAAAATTATTTGCAAGTTCAAAATTTCCAAAAAGTTAAGGATTTGGATTTGGTTCTGCCAACTCAATGGCAAAGCTAGAAAAGTCCTCTGATTTAAGACAAAACATGGAATAGAAGCAAAAATGAACCTAAAATTATACTCTCCAACAAAATATTTTTTTCTGTAGGAGCTTATCGTTAAGCTAGCAGAACCTTATCGTTAAGCTAGCAGGACCTAAGATATCTCCATTAAATAAAGGTCAAAAAATTCGAAATCAAGTTGAAAATTGGCCTAAACTTATGTTTAACAAGGGTTAAAGAAACTATGCTTTTATACAAAGCAGTAATAAGGATCAGAATATTACATAATACATAACATAGCAGAAGGACAAAACATTACAGGCAATAAACGGAGAAATTAATAATTACCTCAAATATTAAAAATTTTAAAACATGTAATTTAATGGGAGAAAAAGGTTTTGGCTTTCTACTTCTTCACCTTTATACATAAAAATGTGGAAATCTTCCAAAGAAAAGAAGAAAGCAGCACACATACTCACACACACTCCAACACACACAGCATTAATGTATAGAGTACAAAATTCTCCATCGATCGAACACATTACATTTAAACGGACAAAACTTTTGAAACAACCTGAACTTGTAGGTAAACTTGTATAAAATAGAAATAAAAAATTGGCAGTGTATTGAAAACAATGGATTGGAGTATGGATATTATCTTTTTGTGGGTTTTTCATGTATTGAAAAACATCTATTTGAACATGTCGTTTTTGTTGTATCGTTAGTCAGGGGGTAACAAGAAACATTTTTCATCTATTATGCAATTACTGATAATTTCGCAATAAAAATTCAATATATATTCATTAAAACATTCGTTACTATATTCAAAATTTGAAAGCTCTTTCAATGCTCATTTTTTCATTCTTTCAAATTTGTTGTATCACAAGGATTTATTTTATTTATTTATTTGTTATTTTTCATTTCATAACATGTACCTACCAAAATAATTTAACTTTTCTCAAAAGACTATATCGTTAAAACAAAAATAATTTTCTCATAGCAGTTAACGTAAAGTTCATTTTCATCTGAAAAACCTCGTAGAAAGATTATCACATACCCTTAAATTAAAGCATATACAGCGATTTCTTTAATGTCCCCCTCCCTTTTATTTTTTGAACAGGTCAACTCAAAAAATTGAAATTTGAGATAATGAAATTAATGCATGAATACTTTATTTTGAAGTAAAAATTACAGATGAAACTTTCAAGATGGCGACTGGGCGCCATCTGGGAAAAAATTAGGTGGAAAGGGGTGTCTTGTGACACATCATTTTGAAGCTCCTGACAAATATTTCACAACCCTAAAATACTGACGTACTGACATTTTTTGACGTTTTTATAAACAAAAAATAACTTAAACCTTATCNATACCCCCTTAGAAAATCTGACGCGCTCGATTAAATTTTTTTTCTTTTCACTTTTAACCCTTACGTACAACCATCCACATCATGCAAACGATCAGATTAAGATACCAACATTATTAAAAATACGTAAGACATTGATGCTATCAATATCTGACGCGCTCGAATATGTTCATGCAACAGTATTTTTTTACATATTTAAAAATCTATAGGCGCTTCCCCATAGGCGCTTCCCACACCGATGAAAAGGTATATATTATATAACATTTTTTTCTTCTTATCATCTAAGCTTTGCAACCTAATATGTCTCAATGACGCTTGACTAAATCCCCATTTTGCATCGTGAGCTCCCCTGCTACAATGTATAGAGTACAAAATTCTCCATCGATCAGTATATGCCATGACACAGAATAAACAGAATAATTATTCATTGAGATAAGGAGCTATAAAAACACATTACATTCAAAGGAACAAAACTTTTGAAACAACCTCAACTTGTAGGTAAACTTGTATAAAAAAAGTTATCAAAATAGAAATAAAAAAATTGGCAGTGTATTGAAAACAATGGATTGGAGTATGGATATTATCTATTTGTGGGTTTTTCATGTACTGAAAAACCTTCTTTTGAACATGTGGTTTTTGTTGTCACCTTAGTCAGGGGGGTTACAACACTTGATAGTTCGTATTGGAACCTCTGGGTAACAACAACCATTTTTCATCTATTATGAATCTATTGATGATTTCGGAATAAAAATTGAATATACTATACGATATTCAAAATTTAAAAGCTCTTTCAATGCCCATTTTTTCATTCTTTTAAATTTGTTGTATCACAAGGATTTATTTGTTACCTTTCATTTCATAACATGTACCTACCAAAACAATTTAACTTTTTTCAAAAGACCATATCCTTAAAACAAAAATAATTTACTCATAGCAGATTAACATAAAGTTCATTTTCATCAGAAAAACCTCATAGAAAGTTAAAGCATATATAATTTCTTGATGATAAACAGGAAATGGAAGATGCATTCTAAAAGTTTTTCATCTGTTTCATGATGCATTTGAGCCAACTAAAATTTCTTCACACTTCCATTCATCAGTCTAAGCCATTAGATATACGTAGTAATTTCTCTGTTTTATTTTGAGAAAAGTTAGTCAGAATGCAAACATTTTATATTTTGGCAGACTTCGAAATAGTTTTGAGGAATGTTTAAAATTAGGATAAAGGTACCTCTCACACATGATTAAACAATCAAACACTTAGGTGTTCCATTTCACAGTTGGCACAGAAGGCCTGCATACTCGTGAAAACAACACATGTCCCACATTTTCAGTAAATAAATATATAGATTTTTCATTTGCGTGACTGGTTGGATTTTAGTTTTTTTGGTTGATACAAGTTCGCACCGAAATGAAACTAGAAATTATTGATATAAACAAGTAATTGATTAATTTTTGCTGTAGTTGGTAACATATGATTTCAATACTGTTTATTTTAGTGACTATAGTGGTTCTGACAGTGAAAATGAGACTAACTTAGGTGAAGATGATAATGTCAGTGAGCAGTCAACAGATGAGAGCAACAAAGATTCTGCAAATGGGATTTTACAAGTTGGTTCACATGAAACAGGTGAGTCTTCGATATTGAATAAAAATAATCATAATAATCTGCGGCCATTTATATTCTTAACCAATATTATTGATATTGCCTCATGATTTTCCACTACTTCTTTAATGTTTACTGTAATTGACATGTTCTACACCTGAAAAGGTTTTTTATTACAAAGAACTAATGAAGGATATCTATATATCTATCTAATGGTGATTTATTGAACAAAATTACAAATTTGCTTACCTGGCTATCGACCGAAGTCCTCCCGCCAGTATTATTGATAAATGCATCCGTATAAATTTACCAAGGTTCAAGCTCTCCTAACCAAGGTTAGGACTCTGAACGTAGAGTTCGTTTTTGCGAATCCCTGTCAATACATATACAAGAAGATCGGGAATTTTTGTCAAAAATAATTTGGAGCGACGAATCAAAATTTACGAGGGATGGTATTTTCAAAAGAAGGAATGAATATAACACATAATTTACTTTTATTCAGGTTTTTTTCAGTTCAGTTCAGATTTTTATTCGGTTAAGGAATGAATTTTTTGTTCATAGCTGTTTTTTTCACGTCAGACAGAAGACAAATGAAGATGTTTGAAATGATACAATATAATAGTTTTCGGATTGTCAGTCGATTATTGGAAACATGGCAGTTGAAATCTGAATATGAATTGCTAGTTTTGAAAACAAACAAATTTCAAATAAACCAGGCGGTTTGAGAAAGTTTATGAAAATAAATACATATTTACAATATTGTATTGTTTTTGTAACCTTCAAAAAATAAGGTGGATGTTTAAATTTCGCAGGCTATGTATATTCGATTGTCGCTTTTTAAGTTTTTAATGTTGGTACACTTGTCTCAAACATATGTTCACAATTACAGATGTTTAACATGTTCGGTTTGATGGTGAGAGGCATAAAAGTTAGAAGTGTTTTGCTTGTTCGGCGATTTTCTGCTATGGAAAAAAAAGGGTCAAAGAATTTGCATCAAATTTTGTGTAAAAAATACATGAAATGTTGACAGTGGCATATGGTGATTGTACTCCGAGTCGGAAAAATGTTTACAAGTAGTACAAGTTTTTCACAGAAGATCGTGAAGATGTGAATGACGACACTCGCTCTGGACGCCCCAGCTCATCAGCAACCGATGAAAATGTGGAGAAAGTGAAGAAACTTGTTATGGAAAATCGTCGAATTACTATTGGAGAAGTTGCTGAGGATGGAAATAAGGGGTATTATCTGAAGTTATGCGCCTCTTGCAAAAAGTTGCGCTACCGATGTTGTGGAAAAACAATTCATGGCTTTTGAATAACGATAATGCGCCTGCTCACTTTTCATTGCTTGTCCGTAATTTTTGTGTCCAAAATGTCTGTCTGTCTGTCAAGAGCCTCTTGGAAAGTCATTAACACAAAAAGGACTAGAGAATAATACTAGACTAGAAATAATTGATATTACTCCAAACGAATTTTATAACTTTTTTTCTGATGTGGGAGATGCAATACAAAAATTGAAACCAAAAGATAGTAAAAATATCTATGATATGAACATTAATCTAATCAAGGAGCCGAAAGATGTATTAATCATTCCTCTAACCAAACTGTACAATGAAAACATCAGAAAAGGAGTATATCCAACGGAATTCAAGCTTGTTAAAATCATACCTAAAAAGGTAATAAAATGGACCCACCTATAAATGGACACACCTATAGCGCTCATTCCAGTTCTATCCAAGATATTTGAATTCCTTCGGAAAAATCAGCTACAGGATTTCTTTGAGGGAAACAGCCTGTTGATTAATGAACAATTCAGCTTTAGAATTGCCAAATCAACCGCATTAGCAGTCAATGATCTATGTGATCTATGGTAAAATTGTGGAATCTACTTTCTGTGACCTGTCAAAGGCCTTTGTGTATCACATGAAATCTTAATTATAAAACTTGAATTCTATGGCCTCACTGGAATAAATTTGAAACTGATCTCAAGTTACCTGGAAGATAGAAGACAAGTAACATTTTGCGGTGACACTCTCTCAGAAGAAAGAATCAACAGGCACGGTGTACCCCAAGGCTCAATTCTTGGTCCACTATTATTCCTAATTTACATCTACGGTATCAAATATGCCTTAGCTCATAGCTTCCTAGTACCTACTTTATGCTGATGATACGACCTTTACAAATTCCAAGAGAAGCATCAGACTGGTTCACTTCAGAACGGTTGCATCTAAATGGTAGCAAAACTAAATCATTGATTTTCTCCACCTATCAGAATGATATTTATAAAATTCTAGAATCAGTAAAGTTTTTGGGAGTATACCTGGACCCCACACTGAAATTTGACTGTCATGTAAATTATATAACCAGTAAAGTTAATAAAAGCATTTATTTTCTAAAAAATCTTAGATCAGTGGTGGACCAGAAAGTTTGTGTGATGACTTTCCAAGCTCTCATTCAATCAGTTTGTACGTATACGATAATAGTATGGGGACACTCCCCACATGGATTCAGAGTATTTGGCGTTCAGAGAAGAGCAATGTGTGTACTTTTCGACTTGGAGTATCGTGCCGATGTCAGATAAAAATTTATTGATCTCAAAATCATGACCATTCCATCAAGATACATGTACGAATGCATTGTCTATATGCATGAAAATATTAGTCAATACAAAACTCAAAGCAATGTACATAATCACTACACAAGGAAAAGAGACAATATAAGAATGAATAGTCTTAGACTATATAAATCAAGGAATGCTTCACTTTATTATGGTCCATAATTCTACAACAAACTACCTTGCCAGATCAGGATCTTGAAACAAATGAACAAGAGATAAACAAATGAACAAGGGATTGTATTGAAAGATTATTTAACAAAGCCTTCTTTAGCTACAGTGAATTCCTTAGCAGTAGATTTGAAATGAAATGTAATCTTTAGAAGGTTGTATTTATTGTATTTGTCTCTGAGAAAATGAATTGGAAACTTTAAATTGTTGATATTATGAAACCTACATACCTACTTCGATATATTTTATATAATTTATAAGTTATATTTCTGTATCTGTGCTGTATTGACCTGTGTAAAAACTCAATGTTTATTTTAACACCAATAAAATATTCTATTCTATTCTGTGGTGTTTCAAAGTGTTGATGTTGAAATGTAGTTGAATTTGATGTAATTAACAATATACTGACTCCTGCTAGCTCATGATGTAGGGAGATGAGTTATTGGATAAAACAATGCTTTCAATGGAGTGGTATAAATTGGAGACTGTACATGTTAAAAATGTTGAAAGATAGAATGCTCATAGCTCATATGTGCCAAAACAGAACACACAATACTAAAAATTATTACTACAGATTCCTTCTAAACTTCAACAGAAATAATAGTACGAAGGAACTGATTACCTTTTATTATTTTATTGACGATTTATACATTATGAAGGCACCGTAAACTGAAGAGAACACTTAAAAGCCATTGTATAGTTTAATTTTCTGAAGAAAATCTGCAGTTGGTCAATTTGTATTTTGCCACAGACAAATTTCGTTTAAAATGTCAACAAAATTTCGATTTACGAAAAATATTTCCAATTAACTTAGATATTGGGACCAAAATCTGTGACTTTCTATATTTGAAAGCATTTCTGTTTTTCCATCAACCAGTTGACATCCCCCCACGAACAGCAACCCTCAGAAGTCTTGAGGAGATTCGTAAGAGTGAAAGATCGACGAGGTCTCACGTAATGACGTGCGATTCCCAACACATTTATTATTTACTCTCTAAGTGAGAGTGATGACATTTCCGATTATGAAGACGCTATTTGTGGAATCGACAGAGAACTCGATCCCCGAATGTCAAAGTTAAATGAGACTCCCCAAAGGAGGTTAGTTGTAAAGCGAAGCTTAAACATCGACCGCCGACGAGATTCGCCCTCTGTTTTTCATTGCAAGGTAATTAGCTGAAAACCAGAGCCCAAACGCATTTATCATTCAACACCAGACAGCGCTGTTTCGACCCTAACATCAGTGATGCTAGGCTGAACCACGAATGCATTGCTGTCCTTAAAGGACAAACCTAGGTATGTGAGGGCAATGTTTTGAGCTATTTAACCTCTCTTTTAAATATTTGATAGTAGTATATTATTCAATAATTCAGGTTATTTCTCACTAATAACTATCTAGAAAGTGTTATCGTTTTTATTCAATTGAACGTTTCAAAACTTGACAAATTCTCTCTTGATTGTATGGGACGTAATCTATTTGCATCCATTTCAGTCCTGTCTAATTCCATGAATTCCGTCTGGAAATGAAGAGTTTATCTATTTTAAATAACACAAAACAATTTACATCTGGTATGTTATCTTTAGAACTTTTCATTGATGTAGTGTGGCAAGATAATTATATGCAGAGTAAGTACAGTTCAATGCCAAAGATAAATATACTTTCACGGGATATATTTGAACAGTTCTCGATATTATAAGTACTGGCAGTTGTTCACATGAATAGTGTAACTCGAAATATTCTGAAAAAATGTTTTGTTGGCTTCAACGTTTTACCACTTGCAATGTTTAAAAAATGTTTCGACAGTTTGATTTTTTTTTACTTAAAATTTGAATGTACTCAATAAATGATCGATATGTGGACAATCAGTATCATTTTAAAGTTGTATAAGAACATCAATTACGATTCTTTACATGCCAGTAAACACTTGGATCTCTGCCTAATGTATTAGTCAACGCTTGCTTATGTTGAAATGATTCAAATTATCAAATTTATGAACATCTGCCGCCAATCCATAAACAAGGTGAATTTGTTTAGGAATAACAGTAAAGATAATCGGTTTGAATATTATAAAACACTTTTATACTGATTGGCTTGAAATTTTAATTATGTTTATTCGAAAAGTTGGTGTTATTATTCATTAATGCAGCTGGTGAATTAATAATAATGGCTGATTCACATACTAACGACGTCCATACCGTCGAATGCCAGTGGTGGCGATCAGAACCAGAGGCGTGAGAAATATTTGAAAAAGGGATTCAAAGATCCCACCTATCATTAGGAGAGATACATATGTACAAGAAAATAAATATTTCGAAATATTAATCTCTCCCAACTACCTACACAGTAGGCTCTGGTAAACATCTGTCGGAAAACAACTACTTCTCCGGCTATTACCACGCTGGATATTGATGCCTCACAGAGGCTAGTCTCGAAGATGTTCATCCAGCAGCAGGACTAGGCTGAAATTATTCAAGTATATCACCTGCAGACCACGGTTTCGAGGTATTACCTCTCGTCAGTACAGGAAAGATTTTACCCAGACACTTACCAGAGCCTACTCTGTAGGTAGTTGGGAGAGATTATTATTTCCTTTAGTAGGTCCATTATGTCATAAACAAAACAAGAATATATAATTATTATTACTATCGTTTAAACATTGTATGTGTATTAAGGAAGCCTTTTGAATGATGCTCCGGCAGAACTATAACATACTAAAAAAGGTAACCCTCTTGACCAAACTGAAATAGATTTGAGATTATCAAGGGTAACACGTTTTCTAGTTTGTTTGTTTTCCTGGTGTTTTGTATTTCAAAACATAAGCCTTGAAGGAAATCTCTTATTTGTTACATATCTGAATCTCGTGTTAGTGGAATTGTACTAAACTCTAGTTATGTAAATTTCAACTCCAGAGGGGGCTTATTTAGAGTTGGTACATCTCTAAAGCAAATTGTACTTTTCATTGAATTCCATGTTATATAAATAGTAAATAGACCTATAGCAATTGTATTGACCCTAAATGTACCTACAACAAATTATACCTTTCTACCTAAGAAGTAGTTCCAAAATTTCACTTAGTATCAGGACAGGTAAAAGTGTAGGTATAATGAGTGACTATAAATCAAATTTTCTGGTCCTGTCCTTTTCTCAGTATAGTGAGTTTACTGCTAATTATGACATATCAACCTGATATTCAAATGAGTGGTGTCAATATAGGTATGCTATTCTGATTTAAATAATTATTGTTTAAATTTTGTTGAAATCTAAGATTATCTTGGTTCAGTAGAGTCCTGATTATGACAACAATTATCCAAATAATTTTATTCCATAATTTTGTTATCAGCCAAAACCCTTTTTCTATCAGGTACAAATATTTTCAGCATTTTGTATGGCAGAGACTTACCACAACTAATTGGGGGGTTCTCTCAATAGTTTCTTTGTGTGAAACCTTGAAATAAGACAATTTTTATTTTACCAGTAAAGTTTGTATTTCCTAGGTTCATAATTATTAAGTAATATACAAAATAGAAGAAATATATAATTTTCATTCACTCATTTTTTTATTTGGTATGAAACTTCAATATTTATGATGCACTGTTTGGAACCTTTGGTGTAGTAATGAATATTACTGGAGTTCTTTCCCAACACCAAATCGTTATTTTTAACACCTCGACACGTTTCGATCACCAAGTGATCATCTTCAAGAGGAAGATTAAACTGGAAAGTTTCCTAAGCTAACGCTATTTATGCTATACAGGTATACTATACAGGTAAACCATATAGCTTTACCACCCATAATACCTCCCTAAATTAATTCTCTAAAGCCTACTACTCTTCAATGGAGTAGTAGGCTTTATCAATCAGAAAGTTTTTTAGGAACGGTTTAAATTTTCTTAGTGACATTTTTCTAACATGATTTGGCAATTTGTTAAATAGCCTGACACCCATGAAAATTGGACTTGATTCTGATCTAGCCAGTCTATGATTTGGTATTTCTAACAATGTTGAATTTCTTGTGCCGTAATTATTTTTGTTTAAGAAGGTAAAAGGTCGCTGATCCGATTTTACAAAAATTAACAGCTGGTACATATAAATGCATGGGAGAGTTAATATTCTTAAAACTTTGAATAGATCTCTGCAGCTAGTACGTCTATTTACACTCTGAATGTTTCTGACAGCTCTCTTCTGTAAAATAAATACCCTTTGTGCCTCACGTGATAGGCCCCAAGCTACTATACTATATGAGATTGTTGAGTGTAATTGGGCATGATAGTACATGAGTACCACCGACTTATCTATAATTTTACTGAGTTGATAGATACAGTAACACATAGGCGTTATTTTTTTACATATTTCATTAATATGTTGATTCCATTTACAATCTTCAGTGAGAGTAAGTCCTAGAAATTTTATTGAATTCACCTGTTTCATTAAACCGTGCTGTGATTTTAACAGTAAACTGTGATCATGACCATTTGGGGCATAACTAAATCTTAGGAAGGATGATTTTTTATCATTGCAGATTAA